GAAGAGAAAAACAATGTGTGTTTGTTCAGCAACCAGTCTTAGCTTTTTCCATAGTAAATCTTACCTTTTTCCATAGGAAACAAATAGCTTTGACTAAGTTTGTGTGTTCTACCTTCAATTCAGAATGCATTTTACTTGTATATATTCTCTTTAGGGGCCTTGGTTATTTTGGTTTAGTTTCTTTGTAATGTGAGGAGCTTTGTTTTACTGCTGGCCTGCAGCTGGACCTCCAGCAGTCTGTGTTTGCAGCAGGGCCCTCTGCTATAGTGAAAGTGGAAGTTCTTTGGTACAGAGTGAAACTGAATTGAAAATGAAAACGGAAATACCAGATATCTGCAGCTTAAGCTGTTCAATATGTACTTCCTAGTTACATTATACAGAAAAAAGCATTTGCTGTCTTCACTTGTCTTGATGGTTCATACTTTTTTTGTCCAATATTAAATTCTTATGGTGTTGTGGAGACTTGAGAACTTCACCAGTTCTCAGCATTGTTGTTTGCATAATCCCTTTGTGACAATTAGCAGAGGAATTTTTTTTATGATTTCTATAGCTTTTCAAGTTTATATAGTGAGGTAGTAGTTCTTTGATGCTCAAGGTAATTTGCAATAATTTTGAAGGGTTATAATTGCTTGCATATGTGTGCACATGAGCATATACACACAAAATAGCTGAAATACACACAAAACACCACTGTGTAGTTTTAAAAGAGATAAAGTCATCTCAATCTGACACCACCTACCTAATAAGCCTTCTAAGTGTTTTTTAAAACTCTACCATTCTCTCTTGTTTACTAAACACTCATCATGGTGTTTTCATCACAGAGTCTACAAACAAACCTAAAGCTCTCAATGCAGTAAAGATGCTGTCCTTAAATGAGTTTGGTTTTGGTCATTTAGAGAGACTTTTAAGCTTTGAAATGACCTATTATTCATGGTGTGTTCTTGTCTCATCATATTCAGACAGATTAAAACTAAATGGAAGTTGATTGGATTTTTTTGAGCAAATGTAGCCAAAGTTAATTAAATACTGGTGTTTTCTGTGGCCAAGCCACTTCTTTGGGCTGGTAGAATGCTGACAGCAGTGTTGTGAATTCTTGTCAATCTGCCTGTCACTCATTGCCTGTGAAAGTGCTGAGGGAATGACAAACAAATCTGTCATATGTTAAGGAAAGAGGAAAGGCATGTTAATTTTTTGTTTTATTTTTCAGTCCTTCTCAGCCTATTGCAGCTGATGGCCCAGATGAGTTTTTGAGGATGCTGCTTCTCCTCTAGTCATAATTTCTCTAAGGAAAACTCAGTTGCTGTAAAGGACTTCCTCAATTTTCACATTCCACATCCTCCTGGACAAAATCAACTTGAAATCCGCCTAGCTGCCTTTCCAAGCAATTGTTTCATTACTCCAGAAAGTCAGGAATTTCTGTGTCTGCCATCCTGAATAGTGCAAAGCCTGTGGAATGGTTTGTGTATCCAGTGTTAGGATTAGTCTGTGTGGGAGTCATCACCTCCACCTCAGCACTGCCCATCTTTGCAAATTCTCTGCAGTCTCCTGTTTGAAAGGGGAACAAAATCCTCAGATTCCTTAAAGTAGAAAAGAACTCTCATCCCAAGCTGTTTCCTTCTGATGTTTAGTGTAACTGGTTTAAAGTTTGGGTGACTGAGGTGGGAGTTCCTCAGGCTGCAAAGCTTGCCTATAATTAAGGATGGAGAGGTGAAGGAAGTTCTGCAATTAAATGGTTTTAATTCTGGCAAAACTGCAGTTAAAGGTCATGGGATGGGGCATATGCTGGGCACTCTAGACTTACTTAGCAGTGACAGAACCAGAGAGTGTTCTGTGCTCCTCTGCAGCACAGGGAGGCTGCTGACATTGATGGGCAGGAGATCTAATTACAAATGAGAACAATTTCAAGAACAAAGAAGTTATGAAAAAGACACAAAGGAGCCAAAATTTGAGGAGAAGGCATTTTAAACTAGTTTGATTTTGTGTGATCTTCCTTTTCTTTACAGTTGTGTTCTGAGCCAGGAGTTTCCCATCTTAATTTGTTTGCTTCAATATCATCAGAGGAAGAATTGGTCAGGCCTGGCTGGAGGAGATGTTCCCTGCATTCTTCTTCCCTGCACTCACACAGCCCACAGGACTGTGCTTCTATTCTAGTCCTGCCTCTTCATCTTCATGGGTGCACTCAGATGCCCTGTGCTGTCTGAACACATATTGTTATGAGTTCAGGCTTCCCTAAACAACAATTTCTGTTTCCTTTGGGAGGAAAAAGAAACTGCAAGCCAAATTACTTTTCTTCTATACCACTTTGTAACTTGACAGTGATCTCCTATTCTTTAAAAATGCAGAGAATACAAGTGTCTTATAAAGGAGCTTCAATCCTCAGTGTATGAGAAGAGAGATACCAGGAGGGGTTTGGGTGGCAAATTTGTTTAGAAATTATTTCTTTCCCCCCTTGCATTAATAAATAAAATAACCCTACCTGGATACTGAAGTAAAATCTATACATATGACTGTAAAATCTATACATATGACTGCATTTGGTTTGCAAAAATGTTTCTAAGAGAGAGTATTGAATAAACTGTTGGTGTCCTACAGCTGCATGTCCAAAGTACATGCCAGGAATTGCACCTCATTGGTTACTGTTGGGATACCTATGGAATACACCAGAGCAATTCCCAGAATGAGAAAATCAAACTAAACCACAATGGTGTGGTAAAGTAAGATGGAAGTGAGCAAGTGGTGATTTTTTCTATAGACTTCTTAAAAATCTCATATGAGAGCTCCATGGATATTGAATGCTGGGTGTATTTTGCCATTTTTAACAGTATGAATGTTTTATCACTAAAAAAAAAACGTAAGTACATCAAGCCCACCACAGATAAACCTTGCAGGTTTTGTCAGAGCCTGTCATTTTTAAGTTTTTTATCATGATCCAGTATAGTGAAAGAATTCTGGGCATTTCTAAAATTTTGTGAAGTGCTTGCAGACACATTGGAATGTGATATTCTCCCCTGTACTGTCACCCCTTTTATATTATGCTGCAGTTAGAAGCACTGCTAGAGCCTTTTCATTATTCCAGCCAGCTCCCTCTCAGACTAGAGTCATAAATCTTTGTAGCTTAGTTGCACTTTCTGAAGAATACAGGGAGTCATAAATTAAAAATGAGTTTCAGACTCCTGAGTAACTTCCACATTTCTGAAAAGTTGATTCATTGAAAAAAAATCCCATCCTACCTCTTCAGCTGAAATGCTGAAGTTGGTTTGTTGTTTTAAGATTAATGTTTTTCCAGACCTGCCCCTGACATAAGGGCTTCTTAATTTTTGGCTTTTAAGCATAACTTTTCATATCATGTTTAACTGCTAGAAAGAGCATTTGATTTTTCACATCTGCTTGGAACCTTTTAGATCTGTTGAGAGTGCTGGACTTGAGGCAAGCCTACAGGAGGGGTTTTCTGACAGTCTTAGAGAATCCTCAGAGAGCCAAAAACCTTGAGACATGGGAATGTAGCTCCAGCTGGAGTCACATGAACCAAGTCTGAATTCACCAGAAAAGCTGAATCACTGGATGAGTAATTGTCCCTAGCAATCAGAGGACATGGCTTCATGTATGTTTACCAAGAAAAGTTTTAAAAGCTTTGAGAAATGGATTTCTACATTGAGTTTTAGGGGGTTTGACTGGATGTACCTCTCTGTTTGAGTTGCAAATAAATGTCTATGCAGTTGCAGCACATCAGAGATTTTAGTTGTTTGTGTTTGAGATATAATGTGTAATTATTTATGGGAGTATTTGCTGGATTTGAAAATATGTACAAGGTAAAGTGACCTACTCTGATTCAGCATAATGCTCCAAGTACTTGTTTATAAATTCTAGATTTCTGCTCTCTTAACTGTCTTCTTTCTTTCCTCTTGCCTCTTCTAATTAATTTTAACTGCCTTCTGAATGATGAGCTGGTATTATACAAGATGAATGATAAATGTTGCATATAAATTTACTACTAGAAAATTAAAAAAGGAGACTCAAAATACGTGATTTTATAAAATATGTGATAGGTGTGTAATGAGATACATTCTGTGCTTTTTTCCAGAGTTAATGCTTACTTAGATAAAGGTGCACTCTATTTATATCAAATATTACAAATGAATCCAAAGAGACAAAATGCAGCTAACTCTGTGAAATGGTTTTAGTTGGTGAATAATGTCTGTGTTGCTGAACTTTATTATGTAGTAAAAATGTGTCTGTCATAGGGCAACATGAAACACCCTTGTAGCTAATTTCTATCCCTTGAAGTGGAAATAGTTCTGTAATTGTTTTCCAACAGCTAAAATAGCTTTACAGCATCAATGGAGCACTCACAAACTTTTACTGTTGGAACTGGAACAGAAAAAAAATCTCACAAAAGTATGTGGGGAATGGTTCATGTTACAAGTTCTCAGTATGTGAAAAAACAGCTGAAAGATGGAGGGCTTGGGGTTTTAAACCTGGTTATTTTTGTAGTTTCTATTCAGACATAAAGACAATATTTCACTCTGTTCTAGTCTGAGAGTTTTGTTTGGTTTTGGTTTTTTGAGTGTTTTTTTTTAATCTAATAGTACATTTGTGTGTATAGCATTTAACTTGATTAATAATATTCGATACAGAAGGAGGTTGACTTTTCCACATCTACATCCAGTGCTCAGGTAATGTATTTGAAATCAAATTAAGCCTTCCTGATGGTCTCTCAGAAGTTACTTGAAAAGATAAAGGCAAACCACAGCTTACTTGCCAATATTTTTAATTAAAAACAAAACTGTAATTGGAGTGTGGATTTTTTTCACTGTTAGAGAACAAAAGCTATGACTTAAAGTTTAAAGTTTTCATTACACATGAAATCCAATTATTGTTTACTAGCAAACATGACAGCACTTTATTCTTATGAACTATTTCTTATTTTCCTCCTTCTATTACCACTGACGCATATCTGAAAAAAAGATGATCGGTTTGGCTTTTCTTTTTTTCTTTTTAAGGCTCCTGCTAAGAGAGATCAAACTCAGAGTACCATCAAAGAGGAAAAAGTCCATCTGTTGAAGTATAATATAGGAGATCTAGTGTGGTCAAAAGTGTCTGGTTTCCCATGGTGGCCATGTATGGTTTCTGCTGATCCTGTTCTCCATGCCTACACTAAATTAAAAGGTATGTCATTCAGATTGCTTCAGGTAAACAAAATGATTGCTTTGGAAAAATTCTGTTCTTCATCTATGCAGTTGATCAGCAGCTTGTTGTCAGCAGGAATGTTAAAATCATGTAAATGCTATTCTTGAGCATATAGCAGTGTGTCTTTTAACTCAAGCGTTCTCTGAAAGATACCAAAATTGTGAGCTGTCAAACTGTGTGGATCTTCTTAAAAAAAAGAAAAAAAACCCAAACCTAAGAGTGTTTTCATTGTTTCTCTGGAGATGCTTGGTAAATTGATACAGGATAAAAATTTTATTAAAGCTGGTGGGAATTAAATATTCCTGATGATTGTGATTTACTAAAAGAAATCCATAATTCAGGCAGCTAAATTTTCTCTGATTCCTAGAGTCAGTACTGATATCTACATACAATATTAGTTGATTTTAAATACAGGAACTACCAAGTGTTAATGAAATTTTTAGGCATGAGTCTGTACAATTTCTTAATCTCATTTGCACCTTTGTGCTCTGTTCTGATACCTGAAACTTTTGAGGCTTTGGTAGCAATAAATATTTAGACTACATATTAAGAAATAGTTGGAAGGGCTGAAAGCAGTGAAGCATTGGGGTGGATTGCCCAGAGAAATGGTCTGATCTCATTCAAAGGAGTTTTTAAGAACAAATGGAATTAATATCTCTAGAATTATAGCTAGATTCAAAATAGGTAGTAAACTAAATGGCTTCTTGAGAACCTTTTCAAGCATTCATAATACAGTTGTTGGAATGGTTTTATTGACTCCTCAGACAAATTTTCCTTGTTGCAGTCTTTCAGAGTTTGGATCAGGCAGTCCCTGTCATTTTTAGTCTTTGGATTATTAGGTCTATTATGACATAAAGAGATGGATTTTGAGAGTAGTAGAGCTGTGTAATTGTTCCTAACAATTGCTCTGTTCCTTGAAAGGAGCAGGGTTTATGTTCATTATCCAGAATCTTTGTGGTGCATCTTTATCAGAAGCTATAGAAACAGACCCAGGAAAACCTGGTACCAAAGTCTGAATGCAGCCTGTGGAGCACGAGCAGAAAGAAGGGCCCATGTACTTTGTAATTTTAATTTCCCTCTCTTTGAAGTGATGGGAATGATGGTCATTTCTCATATTTGCTCTGGAGTGGGTTTGGGCCTGCCTTTTCCTTTAAGAGTTTTTAGTCAGGGTCTGACAGCCATCCTGACTAATAATACATTCTGATGTATTTTATCAGTAGGTATTTTCAGTCTTACCTTCCACCTACTCTTTATTGTTTAGGCACTATCAAAAGTCTCTTCTTGCAAAAAGAAAAGGTCTTTTATCAGGGAGTTTTAGAAACACTGAGCTACATCTCTGTATTTGTCATTTCTAGGCTTAGGATCAAGTGTTTATAAGTAGTCTGAATTTCTGGATGTTGCTACTTGATTTGATCATTCCAGCTGATTAGGCTTAATAAAAATTAATAACTTTCAACTTTTGGGAAGTACATTTTTGTGTAAGAAAGTTCACTGAGTCTGGCTAAAGCTCCATCTCACTGAATATCCTGTCTCTGGCTGTGGTCAACCACAGATGCTCAGATACAGAGAAGTACCAGGGAAGTGGTGGGTTCCCAGAACACTCTCCCAAACTGCCAACAATTCGTTGCTTCAGGATTCTGTGGGCCAAAAATTAAGTTTCCCTATGTAACAACCATTCATGAATATCAGAAAATCAAGGCAAACCCCGATGATGGGGAGAAATGATGCATCTAACTCCATTGATATCAGAGCCTAATTAATTACTTTATTATACTATATTATTCTATACTATATTACACTACATCTAAACTGAATCTGCACAAGCACTCAACCCAACAAAACAGCCCAGAATCTCATGACTGTCAGCCCACAGTCCTGACACACACATGGGTTCAATTGGTCAATGAATCAAAACACTCACACCAGAATCCAGTCACCAATTCCCTTCAGGTAAACAATCTTCCACAATGCATTCCACTTGTTCCAAAACATAGGAGCAGTAAATGAGATAAGAATTTTTTTCTTTCTCTGAGGCTCATAGAATGTGAATCCCAGAAAATCCTTAGGAAGTTGTGCCTTGCTTTACTCTGTGAAGAGAAATGAGGCCACAAGTGAATGTCATTATTTTATCCAGGAGCATTGGTACAAATTCAACTCTCAGAGGATACCTGAAGATTCACCACTAGGTTTGTGACTCTAGTGGCAGGCACTATTACTTAATCTCCTTAATTAGGCAATTACAGCTGTGCAGCATTACAGTGCAAAAGGAGCACAGTGCCTGCCTGCTTGGCAAATGGGCTCTTGGCAGATCTTTACAGGAGGTTGGAAACCTCGGCTGTGGCATCTCTGTATGCAGCCAGGGCATCCTGGTAGAATACACAGATTAAGTCATAAGAGCTCTGTAGTCACTACTTAAACATTTTCTTGATGAGCACAAAGTAATTGCTGTGCAAGGCAATTGTTCCTGACTACACCACACTGGAACGTATGTTAGACTACTGATTGGATGTGTGATGGTTACAATCCCAAGACTTTCCCTCTAGATTCTCTAGATTTCCCTCTAGATTGCCCTTCCTCTAGGTTCTCATATCTCAGATGAGTCATTATAATTCTTGTAGTACTCATGGATGTTTTTATATATAGTGTAAGTTTGTAATTGTTATAAAACATTCCATGTATATATTAAAATTTTTGCCCATACCATTAATTATGTTGATTTCATGTTACCCTTCCAGATGCCATATTTTACAGGATTAATCCCCTATTAAAATAATCACCATTATTGGCTGAATCAACATGAAAAGGAAGTTCTTTTCTAACTCTAGAAACCCCAAAAATAGAGTATGAAGCAACCAACTAGATCTATTTGGTGACTAAGCCTGAAGACATGCAATGGAATTCCTAATGGAATCTAGACCTAGTTTGAAGTCACCTGTGACAGAATTGTGGCTGTTATTTGTACCTACTGGGTGTCCATCCTTCCCTGAGTTTGTCTGCTGTCCAGTCTGTGTGCTGAACAAACTGGTGTGGTGACACTGGAGGAACCACAGGTACTGTAGGAAGCATATTTGATCCAGCAGGATTGAATTTGCAAACACAGAAGTGCAGCTTAAAACCTTTTCTATTTTTAAACAAGACCATAATTTGAACACTTAGCAAACCTACAAGTTCTAATGAACAAGGTGTTAGAGGACATCTTAAGTGTGATCTCTTACCTCTGCCTTTTAGAAATTCATTGTTAACTATGAACCCTTTGATGAGTTTTGGAAGTGGTTTCTTCCCCATTCTCTGTAGAATAGCTGAGACCTTTGGAAAGGAAAGGTTGTATGCCTGTATCATGCCACAGTGAGACAATGTTCTTCCTGTTTTTCTAGGGGGAAAAGGGGAATATTTTTAGTTTTAGAAGAAAAAATGCTTCTTATTTAGATGTCAGAATCTTACTCTTATCCGTCCAGTCTCCCTTCTGCCAGCCAAATCCTTTAATGATTTCTTTGATTCCTGAAAAATCTTGATTAATATGAAGTTTTGCTTGCAAGGGTTAATAATAACCAGATGAAGTATGTGTCTCTGTTAAAGAATATCAAAAGATAAAGTTTAGGAGATGTAGAGAGGAGGCTGAGTGCACAAGCTCTCCAAGCTGTGGAACTTTCTCAGTGTTCCTTGAGAATTGAATGCTAAATTCATTTTCAGAAACACCCAGACCTACATGTAAAGTTAATATACATGGAAAACTGACAGGTGATTGTAACCTCGAGTTAATTTAGCCAAGCATGTTCTTGCTGGAAATTAAAATTTCCAGCTCAAATTATTGAGCTTTTGGGTCAGACTTCATAACATTATCTTTCAGAGACTTTCAGGCTGATTTAAGTGTGTTTTTGAAAGGTTATCCAGTTTTATTGTGCTTTTGTTATGGCAACTGTAGCAGCTTACAGACTTCAAGTCTGCAGGGGCTTACCAGAGTCTAGATCTTAAAAACGTGGGGGTTTTTTTGAAATTTTCAGGACAGAAGAAGAGTTTTCGTCAATATCACGTTCAGTTTTTTGGAGATGCCCCAGAGCGAGCCTGGATATTTGAGAAGAGCCTGGTGCCCTTCAAAGAAAAAGACCAGTTTGAACAATTATGCCAAGAGAGTGCAAGACAAGCCCTCACTAAAGCAGAGAAAATAAAGGTAAGAGGTTACCAAATCAGGCAAGATTTGGAGCTTTTTATTTTAGCATTACAGAGATGTACAGATATAAATAGGTATTATAAAAAGCTTAAAGACAGCTTGTTTTACAGGAGTCTTACATTTCATTTATAGATGCAAAGGATGGGGTGATTTACCACTGTTTGTTAGTCAGTAAACATCAGTACTCTTCTGCTTTGTCATGGATTCATCTGTGGTATCAGTAGTGTCCAATACAGCTCCATTTGAGCTCTGAATTACAGACCTGCATGGCAGTTAGTCTCTTGGGGTTGTTTGATGTTCCTGTCAGCACTTTGCAGTCACAGGTGGGCAGATTGCTCACAGGGCTGTCTCCTGTTGCAGATGCTGAAGCCGGTGTCGGGGAAGCTGCGGCCGCAGTGGGAGATGGGTGTGCAGCAGGCCAGTGAGGCTGTGGCCATGACGGTGGAGGAGCGCAAGGCCAAGTACACCTTCATCTATGTCAGGGACAGACCCCACCTCAACCCTCGAGTGGCAAAGGAGGTTGGCATTGCTGTGGAACCCTTGGAGGAGATGGATGAGTCATCCTACTCACATGAAGAAACCACTCCAAATCTGAAATCAATGAAGGAGTCTGGCATTCCTAGCAAAAGGAGGAGAAGGACATCAAAACTCTCTGCTGCTGATGATGTGCAAGAGAGCAGTCAGTTGGAGGATAAGAATACTACTCCTCAAAAGTCATCTGAACAGGCAGAATCCAAAAGAGGGATTGGCTCCCCTCTCAATAGAAAGAAAACTCCAGCGTCTACTCCACGAAGCAGAAAGGGCGATGCAGTATCTCAGTTTTTGGTCTTTTGTCAGAAGTACAGAGATGAGGTTAGTCTCTTTTAGCTGTTATTATTGTTGATTGCCTCTTCTCATTTCTGTACTTGAAGAAACTACTTTCCTTTAGTAAAAAAAAATTAGTTATAACTGCACAATCCGTAATACTCTGGGTTTGACAAGGTATGCCTGCATCAAATCTTATTCTAGACAGAAATAGAGAAAGAAGGGAATGTAAGTGAGCAATGTAAACAAGATGGTGATAACTGCTTTTGTATTTCAAGCAAAAGTTGTTTAAGTATCTTCCCACATAAACCAATAGTCCTTTGCATCAGCCATATTTTGTCTTTAATGTATGTACAATACAATACATATGCATACATATATACTCAGGCAAATACAACTAAGATTATGCTGTTCATGGCAATCTGCTTTTAGATAGCTTTTACATTCTTACTGAGGACATGGCTCAGTTGATTCTGTGTGTTCCCTTATCTTTGAACACCTCAAAACTTAATTTACTTATCCAGAGAATTTTTTGCTGAGCTTCAAAAGAAGCTGCTTACCAAAGCTTGTAAAAATCACTGTCAGTGTGTGCAATCCTCTGGGGCAGAAACTAGGTCCTCTTGAGGCACTTACACTCCAATACAAGGTGGAATAAATAAAATAATATCTTATTATCAACTTTTTTAAGGAAGACTTAAATGTGTAAAAAGCACTACTGCTGGCATAGCTCATAACTTTAAAATCAGGACTTGCCTGATTTTTCTTCCTTACAACCATTTACAGTACTGTTCCATGATCTGAAGCTAGAGTGATATCTTATTTTTTCTTGTACTATTACGTACTGTTCACAGAAGGATCAGGAAGTTAGTGCTGACTTTGTCATACTCTTCAGCTACTGAATGGTTGACTTCATTAGCATACTTGTATTAGAAAAGAATTAATAGATGCAAACTTTATAAAGAAAGCAGATTCTGTTGGATGGAAGTCAGTTAATTGTGGTTCAACTTGGGATCTTAAGGTGATATTGAGAATGAAATATTACTTAAGGTGATATTGAGAATGAAAATGAGCAGTGTTACTTCTAGTGGCTTTGGTTGAGTTGAGAAAAGCACTGGCATTGTAGTTTGCTGGCTCTAGAAAGGAAAGGGTTTTGTAGCCAGACCATTAAATGCAGATTTTGACACATTATTTTTGAAAAGCTGTGTGGGTAAATCATCTGTCTCATGTTGGAGACACATGAGTTCTATTCACAGTTCTTCTGTAAGTGACATTGCAAGAGGGAATTACCTTGGCCTTCAATGTACGTAGCAAGAAGTCTTTGGCAGTACTGAGGGACATACAATTGCTTCTCTGGAAGAAATGAGATTATGATGGCTGGCTTTATGGACTCCTAGCCAAACACACCTTTGCAGAGAAGAGATGTGCTGAGTCTCTGGTATTTCTATTTTCTGTGCCAGTTATCAGGCTTTGTTCCCTACTGTGGTTATACTGTAATTCTCAAATTAATAGATGGAAAATATGAAGACTATTAGAAAATATGAAATTGAGGAAACACTTTTTCTTCAGTGTCATTTCAAGAAATTGAAAAACTTTCTTAAACTTGAAATTCTCACTGATGATAGTGGCTAATGTTGCACAAAGTTTAAGTAGAAGGAAATAAGTTTAAAAATATTACGTATTTTTAGAGAGAGGACATCCTCCCATTTCTGCCTAGAATACCTTTTAATAAGATCTGTCATGAAAACCCAAATCTGCCTGAATGTGTGATGCATTCTAACAGGTACAGAAACACTTCTGTGGGTAGAACAGAACTAGGTTGTGAAAGCTGCAGATACCTCTGACTGATCATCAGAACCTGTCTTCCCTTTGTCATGATTGGAATTTGATTGGCAAAGTGAGGAAACACCAACTTAGATATTTATGCATTTTTACCTTTCATGTTGCTTTTAAACTGGCAGGTTCATGCCATTGGTGGAAGGTGGAGATTCTAACCTAAGATTTGGAGTGTCCCCTTCTGTTAGGCTTATCTGGTTCAACTTGCATGACTTCCACCAAGAGTTTATTGTGTTGTGTTGTAGATGTTCTGATGCAGTAGAAAGAGTGATAATGTTGGCCAAAAATCAAACCTGGTTTTGAGCTGCTTGTACCAGTGGCATTGGAGAGTTTAGTGCATGACTTTCTTAGTATTTGCATGTAGAAACTGAGAAAAAAGGAACATTACAGACCCAGAAGAGGCTCTCTGTCCCCAGTCTTGGGAAGGGATGGAAGTGAAAGGGATGGCTGAAGACTCCTCTTGTGGGGCCTCTAATAATACCAATACCTCTCTTAAAAGTAGAGGCATTTCTGCTGTGTCTTGCTTGGAGTCTAGCTTGGCTCTGTGTGGTAGTGAGATTCATATTTGGGTTTGATTTTATTATTATTATTTAACTGCTGGAGAATGTTTGTAATGATTTAAGAAACACACTTCCCACATCCCTGAGGGAGGTGCTGAAAGCTTGGAGCACTTTTGTGGTTTTAGTGGTGCATTAAGTATTTTGTGCTGTTACCAAAGGAGTAAAGATGTATTTTGTGCTATTGTATTGTGTGCTTCCCCTTTGAAAAATACAAGACTAGTAAGCATTGGAAGGAAGTGTCTGACTGAAGATAAAGGTATCATTCAAGTGAGAGGTAGAGAGCTACACTGTTTACATTAATTGATTTGGGCCTTGAGTCTCCTGTGAGGAAAATTAAGGAATAATTTCACTAATATGGAGATTTTGGAGAAGACTACTGAGCATTTTCCTTGGAGGCCTTATTTGAAAGGGTCCCTTCACCATTAAGAATTTTGAGTGTCTTCCTTGTCATTTCACAGTGCTGCTAGGCAGCTGAAAGTTAATTTTATTCTTATTTTGTTGAGACTGGAGGTAATGTTAACGTGTATCTCATTTCTCTAAGTAAATCTAGTTATTTCTTCTCTGTGCCCTCATTGAGCACAATGACCTGTACATTTGTGACAACAGTCAAAATTGATGCTAATTTCATGTTCTGAAGAAGTGAGACTTGTGGAAGGGGGTATCTTGGGGGTTTATGTTCCTCCCTTTCAATATTGTGAATCCAGTTGTTGGATTTTAATCAAAATTGAGTAGAGGCTTTCAAAGGTAGTTGTACTCCTCAAGTCTTATGCAGATGGATTATGCCAGATAGAAACAGGACAATTCTTAGTACTCTACTAGGAGAAAAATTAATGCATGGGTTTCCATACTAGACCCTTACCAATAGAAGGAAGGTACTGCAACTATTTTAACACTTGGAAAAGCAGCAGTCACACTTGCATCCTGTTTGGTAACAGGAAATGTAGTTTTAGGACCCTAAATTATAAGAAATTAGGTTAAATAATTTCACCTTATCGGAAAAATTGTATTTCTGTTCTTTGAATGGTGTTACTCTTTGAACAATTGGCTTTCTTGGCTTAGTTTTAATTTTCTCTGTGTTTTTGGGGTATCAGTTGCATCACTCAGATGGGATTTTGGGGAATGCTGGGTAATGAGATGAGAAGGATTGTTTTTAAACTTACTGTTTCATTTCTGCACAAGCATAGAGTTTTTGATTTGTATGATTAATCAAATCTGATTTTCCTTAAGTAGAAGTAGGGGTATACTGAAGGAGTTTGGGAGGATTTTTTTTCCTTTTTTTTAGTATTGGTGTTTTGTTTTGTTTTTTTGTTGAGTATACTTCTAGAAACTCTATTAAACTCCATGTTGATGGATATTATGTGTCCTGCTTATAACATTAAAAAAGATGCACAGCTTGTGCATTCCTAGTGCTCATATGCATAATACAAAAATGATGAATCAATACAGGGAAATCTTGCATCAGATGCTAACTTATGTAAATCTCTCTGCTGAGTTAGGTGTACTGAGTTCTATGATTAATGAGTTTTGCTCTGAATTGATGGATTTCTTTCTAGGCAAATGTATATTCCAGTATTGCTTGCCTGTCATTTATGGATCTATCTTTAAACTTCATTGAGAAACAATACCCTTTTTTTTAATGACCACAGGACAAGATTTATACTTACTCCCCTTACTCCAGTTTTTGAATGGCAAAAGGCAAATAGATACTTCCAAAATTAGTCTTAATATTTCTCAATAAGCTAGTTGATTTTTTTTTAAAGACAGAGAAGTGGTTATTTAAAGCAAAACTGGATACAGTAGGCTTTATTCTAGTTCTGTCTACAGCAGAAATTTTAGATGTTGCTTGTATCCAGTTTTCCAAAGTGATGGAAGTGTGTACACCATTCTTTCCAATGGTCACTTTTTTTTAATTCAACCCTATTTCTGCATGTATAGGTGGTTGCTGAACATCCAGATGCTTCAAGTGAGGAGATTGAAGAGCTGCTCGAATCGCAGTGGAACATGCTTAGTGAAAAACAGAAAGCTCGCTATAACACAAAGTTTGCCATAGTGACCTCTCCCAAATCTGAAGAAGACTCTGGTAAACGTAAAACTGTGCTAGTGTACTCTAACTAAATTTGATATACATAGTGGCATTAAACTAAGCACATATTTGAGACCCTGTAGGGAAAACAGCTTTCACTGTTTTCCAGTTTTAATTCTTGGTGTTTGTGCCAATAGCAAAGGAATGCCAATGGTTACAATAAACGCAACCCATGAAGTCTACATTTCTTGCTCATTGTTCTGAAAAGTTGTTATATGTAAACCTTCTGCTGTTTAGACATTGCTGATTTCTCATTCTTCTTCTGCCCATAAGCAGCTGCCATTGCATCCACTGCTTGTTACAAGTGGATGGTGGGAAGGGAAGATGAAGTGTTAACTGCTAGTAAAATTTGAGATGTCGTTTTTATAGAACAGTTAGAAACAGTTTAAAAAATTTAATCAGTGCTACACCTTTTCTTCATATATGCCTAAAGTGTATTACTTCACATCATCATCAACTCAGGAAGAACTATTCCAGACTATTCTGTACCCTTCAACTATTTGGCATTTTATTGTGCTACTCAAAGTTTTTAGGACTTTGTGCAAGTTTGCAAATACTTTATTTTTTTTCTCCTTGTATTTTTGTTGCTTTTTTCTGGTGTTTGTTTTTGATGAACAGTCTCGATTGTTTTCCAAAATATTTGAGGGGGTTTGGAGTTGCTTATTTGAGAAAGGAGGAGGAAGAAGATAGTTTGCCATTTGCATGAACTTTATCAAATTTAACTAGCTATAATTTTTGAAATTAAATAGCTTTACAGCACTGTAAGAAGACTTATATGGAAGTATTAGAAGCCAACAGGTGCTGCTTTGGGCAATGACAAGAATGAGAGGGAGTGTTTGAAAGTTTGTGAGACTTGGAAAAATTTGTATAAAAATGGCAGTCAGTTTTGTTAACTCTGTGTGTGTGTGTGTGAAATAACATCATTTTGTGGAAAATTGAAAAGTTTTTAACTTAAAATTTTAAGTGTTAAATATTTGGATATCAGTTTAAAAAAAAAACACGTTCTGTATCTCTCAAGGTTCATCATTGAAGAATATTGGAGAGGCCAAACGTAAAGTGTTTCAAGACTCACCTAAAAGGAGATCAAGATCCAGAAGTAATTGAAATTTGTGTTCTGTGCAAATAGCTCATCATTATAAGTAGCTGTTGAGTGTATTTTTTTATGTAATCGCCCACGTATCATAATCTCTTTATTTTATCTCAGATGTTGTCTTCCTTGACGTTAGAACTTTAATGGATCCCAAATTAAATATCTTAACACTGTAGTGCTGAATTTTGTTCACATTCCTCAGTGTCATATTGCAAGAAATGTAATTGAAATTGTACCTGTACCAGGTGGTTCTAGTACATATATTGTGTACATTTATAGTTACCTACAGATGAAAATATGTCAGTTCACTTGTTCCCCATCTCAAATCCTCTTACCTTAAACTTGGAAGAATGTTGTGGGATTTCTTTTGCTGGCTTTTTGTAAGTAGCAGGTTCTCCTGGAGCCATTTCAGTCTGCTTTGTGGATTCAGTTGGATCATAGAATATGTCCTAGATTGTTTAGATAAGAACTTTATTTGCAAATGATCCATATTTTCAAGTTGCTATATTTTTAATATTTACAGACATTTGTTCCCACTGGAATAGAATGCTTGTAGCTGTAGGGCAATTTTCAGTTAACATATTTGTGCCCCTGGAGCTTGCAATTTTCATACTAATAATGCTCTGTAGCTTCATAAACTAGAGAGCACTGGAGAGTCTAATTATGTTGTCATTTCATCTTGATGAAACAGACCACTTCCCAAACCCTCATCTATCTTTTTGAGGTGCAGACAATAGTGGAACCTGTGGCAGGGGTATGTAGATTACTCACTGACCTTTGGTATTTAGCAGCTGCTTGAACTTTACAGTGAACAACCATCTAAATACATAAATAACTTTGTGGTCTAAAATGGCCAATGTGGTTCTGTTCATAGGATTCAGGTTCATAAAGGAAGGGATTTTATGGTCTCGTGTAAAATACAGTCAGGTTGTTAGAGTCTGGAATTGCCATACCAGAAAGAGAATTAATCTGTACAGTTGGTGATATCTTATCTTTTTCAGAGGTCCCTTAATAGATGTCACCAGTTAAAGTAGGCTTAAAGAGGAGACTTAGGAAGTAATTTTAGTAGTAAGACACTTTTACAAAGTGGCAGGAGAGTGAAAAGCTGTACAGCTCAATGACATACAGTCTGATGATAAGAAATAAATGTTGGGCAGTAACATTCAGATCTTAAACTAGTACTTGAATAGGTAGACTCATCTTTGTAAAATAATTTGAGTATGAAGCAGTTGATTTAGATTTTCTTCTAGACTTAGTTTTTAGCACCAGAAACCAGACCTTAAGCATTAAGAGGTCATCAAACTGTGTTAATGTTTAACCATGTTTTAAAAATAATGACTGAAAGAAAAGTACCTTAAATAACTAGATCAGTTCAAATAATTTCAAAGTGGGTTTTAGATTATTTTTCATGTGAGTTTCCCCCATCCCCCATCCCAAGGTAATTTACATGGAAATAAAAGAAACCAAAAAAAGAGGACAAAGGAGCCTACAGAAGATTTTGAAGTTCAGGAAGCACCTAGGAAAAGACTCAGGATGGATAAACAGAATAATCGGAAGGTAATTATGTCCTTGGTTTGTTGGGGTTGATTTATAGCAGCACCAGTCACATTGCTGTAGTTAAGTTTGTCAGCATTTCCATTTTCAGGATTAAAAAAGAAATGTCCATATATCATACCAAACTGTTGTCAATATTCAGAGATCCATGTGAGCTTACCACTGGGGGGTTTTTCCCTTTGGTTCTGAGGATGGAGGTATGACAAGTTGCACTTGCTACTGAAACTGTTTCCCAAAGGAATGGGCAGAGGGAGGCATGGCCTCTCTGTGGTCTTATGCTCTGTAGTTCCTTTTCTCTCCTCCTGATTTGGAGTTAGCTTTAACAGAATGTGAAAGAAATATCTTTAGCCAATAGTTACTTTAGACAAAAGTCAGAAGAGAGGAAAGCAAGTAAAGCAAAACAGAAAAACTACTTTTCACAAACAGGAAGGCTATGGACACTTTAGAGTGGCATGCTGCCCTTCTCTTGGGCTAGGAGACTGCAGTAAATTTATATTTCTGCAGTAAAGTATATTTCTCACACAAATTTCAGGCTCCTTTTCTGGCTAGCTTGCTTGTGAGAATGAGAATTTTCCTTACATAGGTCACTGTGCATGCAGACACAGCACAAACCTTGTGGAGCCTCAGGCACAGGTTTATTTAGTGATGCATGTAGAGCAGTGAATTTCATGGGTTTGACTTGTGTGGAAAGCTTAGCTCACACATGTGCTCAGGTGTTTTATTGCAGTATCATACTGTAGTGTGAGTACCACAGACCTCAGCTCAGAGCTTCAGTGGTGTACACCAATCAAATGAAACAGCCTATTAGAAGGAAGGGTAGTATATTTATTTTTTAATGAGTTGTGGAGGTCTTATTTGTAGGTGTCAGTTTGTTTGGTGGGCTGGTTATTTTGCTACTGCTGTTGATGTTGTAGCTATTAAGACAACTTTTTGTCTTAGAGTTTAATATAAAAAGAAAAAAAGAATTTCAGATAGGCTTAATGAGCTGATTAACAAGGGACAGAGATAATTCTTAATGTTGTTACCTCTGGAGAAAGAAGGGCCAAAACTGGTTTTTGCACTTCTTGCTGGAATGGGTTAGTCTTTGCATATTCATGTGACTTTCTAGGAGCAGTTTTTCATATCTTTTTAAACTTGTCTAATTTATTTGAATATACTATAATACACTAGATGTGTGCATGGAATAATGAAGTTCACTTATTATAATTAATTCCTCCTATAAAGTCCTTGATTTTACTGTTCTAAAGGTACTTTTCTGTCCCACCAGCATTTGTACCCTACAATCAGCCTACATTCTCAGAAGTAGGATGAAAGGTGGCTGCAGTATAGTTCATGCATGAGAGGTTCTGGTATCTTTGGTGCTGTGACACACATGTGAATATACCAGCAGGAAAATAAATCACTAAATGAGATTAATGATTCCCATAATATTCATAGCACTAATGGCTATGAATAGCACTGACTATATAATGTGCATTTTAAAAATGTTGTTCTCTCTCTGGTCAGTTTATCAGAACTGCTTACAAGGGGTTTGATGTGTGTAAATATTAGGTGGTTTGGAAACTCTAAATGCATATAGTAGGGTTGTGCTCCACAGAAAGGTCAGATCTGGTTTAAAATTTGTTTTAGGAATTCTCTTAGTCTTTTTCCTGCCTTCACAATTCCAGCTGTATATGCTGCTGCTTAGTAGAACATTCAGGGAATGACAGGGAAAATATCTGGGAATATCAGGGAAAATGATTCAGAAAAGCTAACACTAACCATACACCTTCTTTCTGCTATTCCCAGTTTACCTGCAGGCTTTAGGTACAATCATTTTGGATAGGAGGAGCTTTGATTTCATGACATTTTACTTGCACAGCATTGTGGGTTGTACTCTCCCTTTGTCCTTAATTCTTATTTACAAATTCAGAATGTTTTCACATAAAGTAAACAAGCCATAAGTGCCCATATGGAGGTTTTGAAAAACTAATTTGTTCATTGTTGCTTTGATATGATGTATATAAAATGCACATTAACAAAATGGGGGTTCTGTAAAGTGTGCTTTAAATTTAAGAATGAACTATCCTGTACATTTTCACAGAATCACAGAATCCTTAGGATTGGAAGGGGCCTCTGGAAATCATCCAGTCCAATTCCCCTGCCAAGACAGGGTCATCTAGAGCAGGTTACACAGGAATGTGTCCAGGTGGGTTTGGAATGTCTCCAGAGATGGAGACTCCACGACCTCTGTGGGCAACTGTTCCAATGCTCTGCCACCCCAAAGTAAAGAAATCTCCCTCATCCTGAGGTGGAACTTTGTGTGGTTTAGTTTATGGCCATTACTCCTTGTCTTGTCTCTGGGCACCACAGAAAAGAGTCTGGCACCATCTCTTGACACCCTCTTTTCTTTCATTTTTGCCCAGAAGTGTAACAATAATCTTAGCAAACCCATCCTGGGAGCCTCTGCTGGCATTGATGGTAGGGCAGCTCAGAGCTCAGTAAAAGCACAGCATGGCACATCTGTAGCCATTTGTGTTTATTTTTACAAAGGAAATAATTTCCCTGGCCTTTGAGGTGTTCAGCTGCACATCTTTCTTTGGTAAAACTGATGGTCAGAGGAAGACTGTGAAAAAGCATGTAAAGCATTGGAAATGTGTGCAAAGCTTTCTGTTCAATAGAGTTGTGCTTATTAATCAGGTGGGCATGACAGGGTTAAGTATTCTAGGCTACAGTTTTAGTGATTTGAATGAATTTGTAACATAAATTGGAAAAAAAATAGTGGCATGTGTAAGGAGCAATGTCTTCATTTTGACAAAGATTTGACAAAAACTTCCCCTGTTTTTGGCCTAAACTTTGAATCATGAATTCTCAATCTGGAGCAAATTTAGGTGCTGTTCATTCTCCCTTGAAAATAGTGGTTTTATTTTGGAAATGCTGAAACAATCTTAACCATAGTAATTTTTAAAATGGCACTGCTATAAGTTGTGGAGTTGGAAACAAGCCTCTCTGAGACTTAGATTTCTGCACAGGGTTTACTCTCAAATTTCTATACTAATTCTGCAATTTACCTTTAATAAGTAAAGGTCTTAATTTGACCAGTTTGTACAAAGAATAGTAAAGATAATTTACAAGTTTTGTGTTTAGCACTCCCCCTTTTGATATGCTGAATTTGGGATGGATAAGTGGGATGCTGAAGTACTGTGTTCTTTAATATTTCTCATTTGTTTATGGGTTTGTACCCTGTGCTGTAAATGAGTTTTAAAATTCACTTAAGTGGGGCTAGTTTAACTACAGTACAATTCAGATATTTGTAAAGACACTTTCTTTTTAATAACATAAATCCAGAACTAATTGCCAGTTGTATCCAACCACTCATAAATTAGGAGTTTTTTTATTTTTTCATATTTTTTTTTGTGACAGAGGGAGACAAGCAATGACAAAACAGCAAAAACAAACTCTTCTAAGGTCACAGAAACCTCCTCTTCACAAAAGAACCAGTCAGGTAATGTGGTCAGAATAAGTTTTAATGTAACTTTTTCAATTAAATACTTTTAAAATGCCAGCGGCTAAATTCCGCTGACTCAGCGAGCAGTTGCAGTTGTGCCACAGCTGGGGGGGAGCCCTGTTCCTTCACTGCCCTCCTGCAGCTGGATCCTGGACTGAAATTGTGCATTGCTGACTGAGAGCAGCAGTTCACAAGTTCCCTGTGGGATGGCACCAGATTAAAGCTGGTGCCCCAAGGTCTTGGTGAGCAGGTGGACAAACCCTGCTGCTCCCCTTTGCCCCCTGCACTGGCCCAGTAAAACAAGTGCAGTGGCCATCAGTGTCATCAGGTGCTTTGGGTTTTAGTCCTTTGGCATGGTGCTTGATGGGAGGCAGTGTGGAGCATGAGAGGGAATTCTGTAGAACCTTGGATGGAAACACCAAAGTCAGACTTGTTAATGATGCTCAAGTTGAAGGTAACTGCTACCAGAGCATGTCTCTGCAGGTGTTACAGTGATTTGCCAAAGACAAGAGAGCTTCAGCAAGTCCTGCACGGTGTAGAAGTGGTGATGTGCCATAGCTAATGTGTGGTACTTGGCTCCTGTATATAAATTTTCTCTTAACAAAGTGTTAGTGGTACTCAGATTGTGATGAGCTCATGTAGGCCTTTTCATATAACTGCTACCTCTGCTTTAAAGAGGTCTTAAATCACAAGATACTTTGATTTTAATAGAAATGAGACTATAAAAATTTGGGAAAACATATAGCACATATTTGATTAATGGAGACCTTTATTTTTAAAATCAAGCCAAAATACATGGCTTCAGAAGCTTCATGTTCACTCAGTCCTATGTAGGTGCCCAGAAGACTTACCTAAATAATTCCTTCCTGTATCTGAAGGAGTATTTTAAATGGCTTCAGGGAGATAACATTTTAAAGTTCCAAACTTCACTTTGTAAACCAAAATTATTTTACAGCAACGAAAAATCTGTCTGATGCATGTAAACCTCTGAAGAAGCGAAATCGGGCTTCAGCAGCAGAATCTTCAACTCTTGCTTTTAGCAAGAGTTCATCTCCTTCAGCTTCCTTAACTGAGAATGAGGTAAAAAAAAAGTGGTGTTTGCACACAGCCATTTAATGACAGAAATTATCAGGTGTGAATCTTGTTTTAAAAAAAAAAAAAAAGCAAAACTCAAAGGCGAATTCTCTAACGTTGGTGCTCTAGACAAGTTCCAGTTTTGGCCTCTGTGAATCTGTTACCGTGTGCATTGCAAATCATTTATTGTAACACCAACGTCTGCTTTGGGGACGTCGAGATATTATTGTGGTTTTTAATGTATTTACCAACAACGTTTTAGAATTGTAACCTTCTCTTAGAGGCAAAGTAAAATGCCAGTGTGTTCTGTATTTTCTTCTACAGATTTTTATGTAAGTGTACTACATTAGTTACATTATGTAACTCAATATTGTCATGTTGCCATAGCTTTTATATCGAAGCAAATTTCCTAATCCTCTGTTTGATCTAGAACTGGACAGTCTTCTGAGCAGAGCCTCTTTTAACTCAAATTAGTTTTCAGGCTGTTTTACTGCTATTTCTCTGTGATGCAAATAGCTCCAACCCCAGTAGAGTTAAACAGGCAGTGAAGGATGTATCTTTTTGATACTTGCTAATCATAGTCTTAGCTCTGCATATTTGGAACTGTAATTCTTCTCAGTTGACATACAATAAATGACATGTATGTACCAGAAGTGTATTCATACAATCCATTAAACCATTCCCCGAGTCATCTACACTGTTACAACCAATCAGCCAAAGAGTGGCAGCATGAGGGTGAAGTATGCATGCTGTTTTTCAGGTGGGTTTGGATCTGTAGTTGGTAGGATTTAGTAAAATATCCATAGACAAACAGCTTCACCCAGTCTGTGTTACAAAAACTGTAGAGAAACTACTTGCCTGCTAACAAGGGAATAGGGCTTCCAGCTCTCCTAGAGACTTTCATCTCCCCTAACAAATGCATGAGGTGCTGTAATGAATGCAGTTAAAATATCTAGGCAATGTTCAGTAAACAGTTTACCTTTGGGTAGGGGAAAAAAGATTGCATGTTAATGGCTGTATATCTTAACTGTAACTGGAAAACCATTTTAACTATAAAAACCTCAATAAATGCTCCCTCCTGTACCCCAATAAAACAAGCAAAGGGGGTCCCACAGGAAATAATGTCCATAGCAGGAGCCAAGTCAAGTAATACTTATTTTGTTTTCTCAGTTGAGAGACTCCCATCTTTTGGCTTACCAGCTTCTGCTGGATTGGCTTTGCTGGTGGGACTTGCTGTGGAATGGTCTATTTGGGGCTCTCTATTCAACCTGACTAGTTTAAGGAAAAATATCTGGGGGGTTTTGGCTCAAAAGATGCATCTCTAAATATTGTGGACTCAGAAGAAAGATTCTTCTCTTTCTCAAGATTATGATTATAAAATGAATTATCCAGAAGTCTTTCTTAACAAAAGGCATTTTTTGTAGGATTTTGGGTTGTAACATAATGGTTCATATGTAAGAAAGGATGTGGTTGTATCTTACATATGGCTGAGATGGAAATTCTAAAACTTAGCACTAATTTACTCAGCTACTCCTAAACAGTGAAAGATCTGAGAAAAATTACCTTCGTACACTGCTCACAGAATACAGGTACACAAATTAGAAAGTGAATTAATTGTTTTTAAAGGGTTAAAATATCAAAAAAAAAGTCCCAAACAGCATAACTGAAAACACACCTTGTTAAATAATTTTGGGGGACTGGGTGCAGGGGGAAGTAGATTAATGGACTAAATCCTTGGACTGGTTAAAGCTACACTGACCTGAACTTGGACCAACTAAGGATTGGGCCCAGTTTGTTTCCTATATTAGATATATTTTTTGCTGTTAAATAAAACAAAAATGTCAGGCATGTGTTTCAGAAATTAATATTGACCTGCTCTACAAAACAAGGAAAGACAGAAATTCTGGATTGTATGGGTGGCTCTTAAAAACTTTTCCCCCTTTTGTATTTTTATTTAGCACTTGTCTAAACAGCTAAATATGTGTGTGTCCTGAGAGCATTCATGTGGAGAGAAACTTTCCCAGTAGTAAGGGAAAGTTTTTTAAAAATAAACACAGTCAGGTAATGGTGAAAGCCTTGCACAGCTAATTGAGTAGGATGTAATTCTTCTCAACTTCAAATAGATTTAATGATTAACTTTCACATTTCTGTGTTCACTATAAAACTTCTAAGTGTTCGTTGAGATGTTCTCTTAACAAGTATAGGAAAAATTCTGTGTATTCTACAAGCACATACATCTCCACAAGGTGTATATAGGAGGATTCTGGTCTTTTTTTTCCCTTCTCCTTTCTTTTTCTCCCATACTCTTTGTGAACAGCTTGTTCCAGAATGGAACCTGGATGTGACTGTTATTTGTCAAGAACTGTTGTTAGCTACACACCCCTTAAATGTTTGTCCTTTTCAACCAGGTTCTAGGAAAGATGTGCTCAGTTCTTTCTTGTTTGAAAGATGCATCTTATTTGACATTTTAAAAAATATTTTAAATGCCTTTTGTTGTTATTAGGGGATATTTTTTAAATGGGGTTTATTTGAAATACTATAAAATCAGGCAAGGCCAAATTTTCAGTTGATAAATTACTTTGGGAGGGAGATAAGAGTGGGAGTGTAGACTTGTTCAAACAGATTTATAGATGTGACTTATTAGAGATTAAAGGTTCACTCCCTTCAAAAAATTGGGCTTTGAAGTTGTTGTAAGAGGGGTGGACAGAAGCAGTGAAGTGTTTATACAGGAATAAATGAATTTCATACATGCATTTAATTTTGAAACAAAATAATTTTACTTCTAGGCACTTGACTCAAGTCACTTATGTGAAATATGATTTTGTTGAAATATTATTCTTAATGAGCAACTGGTAGGGCCAGATGTGAAAAAGATACTCAACACTGGAGTCTGCAAAAGCTTGGAGTAGTTTTTTACTGCCTATGTAAGACTTGGTGTAAGCATCCAAAAGCACATATTTGTGAGAAGAGATGCAGATGGTGTATTTTAATTTCTTTTTTTACCTTGGCCCTCCACCCCCCAATAATGTAGTAGGTGCCAGTAAGAGTGTAATCAGTATTTTTTTAATAAATAAAAAAGACTTTACATTACCATTACTGCTGGATTATTGGCACACTTGGTGTGTTTGCATGAACCATATCTGCTTTAGCTTTTCAATCAATTTTTGTGATTATTGTCTGGCTTCATTAAACTGGATGAATTTGTTAACAGCAGATAAGTGTCAAAGTATGGTGCAGACCATAGGTACTACTTACAAACTTTGTCAAAGAAACTGTAATCTTTTCCTAAGAGAGGACAAAATAAAGCACATGTGATACTCTCTGAGTTAGCCAGCCTGTCCTTCATCACACCCTCAAGTCTGAGCTGGCCAGCAGATGGCAGCTTAAAGAAGCCTGGGAAAGATTTGAAGAGGTGCTTTTATTTTCATTTCATCAAATCTTCCTTAGAGGAATTCTTTCTTCCTTCTGTGACAACCTGTGTCAAAAAAAAGCTCAGTTCCTGGTTATAGCTACAAATTCTTGTGTTTCCAAGGCCTAACAATGCAAATTGTAATAATGCAAGCCTTAATGCTCTTTTTCTTCATATTAAACAGTGGATTTTTTTCCCATTATTGATTTGAGACAGATTTCATTTATCTGCATTTTTAATGGGCATTAGCATGTAAACACAAAGGAGAAAACATGCACAGCTCTTAAAAGGTAAGGTGTTTGCTTGAGGAGGCAGTCATGAGACATGCACAGCTTGCAACTCAAAAAGTACATCAGCTCCATTTATCATCCCTGGAGTCTAGTTGTCCTAGAATATGCAACTAAAAACTTACTGAAGGTGAAAATAACTGACTTTTTGATCCTAAGAACAGGAAGGAAGAAGGGAATTCATGTTATTTTAAAGAAACTACTGATCTAAAGAAAAAGCAATTGCTGTTGACCTTGCAGGTTGTTAAACAAAATCACTGTGCTTCTAGCATTTCATTCAAGCTTCCTGCAAATATAATTCTCTCTTCTAAACATTGCTTAAGGATAACTTAATGTACAGTGCCACCTTACATCCTGTGACTTAGCAGACAGTTGTTTCCTGTGTTTGTTTCTGTATGCCTATGATTTTTTTTCCCCCCCCAGTAAGCAGTCAGGGGTACATTTTTATGGAACACTGCAAGTAGTTGGACTTGTTCCTTGCTAAATCTCTGCTAAAGGCTCTAACATTTTACATGACCTGCATCACCCACCAGACCATACAGTTTTGTTACACTGGTTCTATTTTCACATGGAAAAAATTTCAAAGCTTCACTTTTGTTCTTTGACAGCACATTCTGTGTAGAAAATTCAGTTTCTTGTGTACTTATTCTCCTCTTGTGTGTTACTTAGGCTTCAGAGTGCAGAGAATCTGTTAACTGAATGTTTACATGATGTAGGTTTTTATTCTGCATCCCCTACCAAAGTATCATGAGTATCTGTAGGCAATTTTATACTGTTTTAAAATGTTCTCATAGTTTTAATTAACTTTCCAGGCAAATTCAGAAATGCATAATATCCTTATCTGAAACGTCTAACTCCTGCTAATAATAAAAATGAAACTTGTCCCAGGCTGTCTTTTTTTTGCTATTCTAGTACTGTGTACACTGTGGCACCGCATACTTAAAGAATTTATCTAGTCTAGCAGTATGGGCCAAAATATCACTCTTCATTCAGTTCAGGAATTCTTATATGAAATAAAGGAAATGTTAACTGTAACTCAATTGGCTCTGTCAGTTTTTCTGTCTCTGTGTGGGTGCACGATAGATTGTCTTTTGAATACAGCCTGACCTGTTTGCATGTTGCTTATTGACTTACTCTTACATAAGTTGTTCTTAGAGTAAAAAAAAAACCCCAAACAAACCCAACCTTCTAGCTGCTCAGCTTTTGTTAATAAGAAAAAAATATGCAGTTGGGTTTTATCTGTTGGAAAGATGGAAGAGTTTATTTATCAGAACATGCATCCTCCAAGCTTTATAGAGAGCTCTTAGCCA